TTTAATTGTTAGATGTTTTTAGTATCATTTTGCTGTCATTTTTAATTGGTATTTTGAACTTTATGATTTCTGTCTTTGCTTTTAAATTTTGTTTGCTTCCCTTAGTACTTCTTAGAGCAGAGGAGAGCAGCAGCAGGGGGGAGGGGGAGGTTTAAATCAAATACAAACATTATTTGAAAGGCCCTGTTTTAATAGCATTACCAGATCCTCAACAATGCCTTCACCATTAATTCTCCCTTTTGGCTTAATGTGCAGAGGAGATAAGACGTCCCTGCGTATGGTTTATTATCCATTTTACACAGGGGGGCAATAAAACAAAGTTTTGCCCCTAAACAAATCACCTTTATAGATGAAATTTCAGGTTTCTCATTGTTTCTCTCTCTGCAACAGGGCCACTATGTTTTTATAAAAACGGAACAGAGAGAATACCTCTCTGAGAATACCATGAGTGGCCTTCTGTACCATACTTAGCAAACAGAATTAATTTCTCTTATGTATTGCTGTTCATGTAGCATTTTAAATGGGCAGGAGGGTGCATCTATAAATTAATTCTGTTTCCTGCTCACACAGAGGTCCTGCTTGTAAGGAGGGTCATATGCAGACCCAAAAGGTCACATATTAAATGATGCCTTTGTCAAGTGACATGGCCAAAGTCTGCACAACATCCTGGTTTTAAGGAACCAGTTTTCTCATTTTTCTTGTTTTCTTGAGCATGGGCATGACCTGTGCTTGGATCCAGTCAACTGAAGCCTTTTCAGTAAGAGTCCAGGGCCATGTACATCCCCTATTGGACTATTTAAGAGCCGCTTCCTCCTTCTGCACTCTAAAAGCCATGAGAGACAGAAACTTCTAAAGGCCCAGTAGTGGCACTGGAACCCATGTTGTCTCTCGTAGCCAACAATAGAACCACATTTTGATCCTCCAAGCTAGCAACAGTCTTTCAATTTATAGGATAGGAGACAACAATGACAAATGGTGATAAGTGAATACGTCTAATCTGGGTTAACTGGCCATTTTGATATTTTGACCCTCTCCAGAAAGACTCTTGTGATCTGAAGGAAACCAGGAACTGTTCCTTGGCTTCCATTAATGAAGCAAGGGCACTCAACTGCTTTGTTTCCTTTTCCTTCCTCAGACTTGACACTGAGGTGGTGAATCCTTACTCCCTGAACTATATTTCTTTTTTTTTTTGACAAAAGATCGTGTAGCTGGATACATGATGAAACCCAGACCAAGGAGCCATGATATGTCAGAGCTACGCAAGAGCCTCAGAATGTTCTCTGCTGAACAAATACTAAATTATGTGTGTGTTTTTTAATGAAGTGGTTTTCTTCTTCTTTTTCTTTTCTCCCCTCCTCTCTCTCTCCTGTTGCAGTTATTATTGAGTTAAATATTAGAAATGAAGAAAATATATTAAAGGCTTTGTTTAGCTTGAGCAACACTTCTCTTAAACATTATTAGGATAGCAAGCCTCTCTAGGGCATGATTAAAACTTTGCAGACTTCTCCAAGTGTAACTAAGACAAAACAGTTATTATGGCAATGCTTGCTTTGGTCCATCGCCCAGAGGAAAACTAATTCAAATGAAGATGAAGGAATAAGTTTCCTCTGGTTCATACTGAATTGTATGCTGGCCTGCATAGCAGAGGGATAGTGGCAAAGCTGAATGCAGGCAAATTGTGGAATGTTCCAGTTGGTGCCCAGGGCTGACTAACCACCCTAAAGCAACCCAGAGCTATCACAATACCCTGGTAAGAAGATAGCAAGGGGAAGGAAGCACTCAGTAGTCACTATTGTTTCTGGCAGGACTTCTGTCCCTTTAAAACAAAAATAAATTCAACAGATGAAGCTTTCTTCCAGACAGAATTGCAATGCCATAAAGTATTTCTCCTATTTTATTTTTGCTTATCACTTAAAGTCTTTTGCCAGGAAGAAAGGGAGGGAGGGAGGGCGGGCAGGCAAGTGTGATGAACTTACTTGAAACTGTTGGCACTGGGGGTAGATACAGGAAGATCAGGCACAGCAGGGTTAATGGAGGCTACCAAGGCATCTCTTGGAAATCGGCAATGCCCCAGCAGGAGCGCCGAACCAGCATATTTTAACGTAACAACAAATAACTTTAATTAACTTCTGTGGCAGTGACAGATTCCAAACAATTAACCTTAGGTCTGGTGCTGAGGAGGAGGTGATTTTCTTCTTTTAATTTTTAAGTGGTGTTGAAACAAGAAAGAGTTGGTACCCTTGAGACTCTTGCTGCAGCAAAAGAACAGGCAGCACAGTCTACTGCAGCCTGAATTAACTCCCCAGTTGACACATTTGATGATGGGAAGGAAGGCTGTACTGGGAACCCAAATCAACTTTCTATACCTCAACTACTTCTCCAACTGGTACGACTGGAAACAAAGCGTGGGATTGCTATTTTTAGTTATCTGGATAGCTTCTCAGTGGTAAATATTAGTTGCCATCAGGGATGCCTCATACTCGGTTAAGTAAACTGTGATGATGCAGTCAGGGAGAAATCTAAAACAGTCACATGTAGCTGAAAAATGAATCAGGCATAATGGCACAACAATAGTCTAGATCAGTGTTGTCCAAACTTGGCCACTTTAAGATGAGTGGACTTCAACTCCCAGAATTGGCTGGGGAATTCT